CTGTATATTATAGGAGTACTCCTTATATTATTTAATTACTATATATATATAGGGTTAAGATCGGATACAAAGTGTGCTCCCAGTACAAAATGCAAATTCATCTCATCCATCCAATTTAACAAAATCAAGGGTTAGTTTTTATTTGAGCATTAATACTCAATCCCTATAAGTGGAGAATTTTTCTCCTATAATCCGTATTACATGGGAGTGATGGGACCAGCCATTAATGCATTGGTTTCCTATCTTGACCATTACATTATTAAAATCAATGGTTAGGATTAATTTGCATTTTGTAAATTAGTTCTTTTAATTAATAAGTGAATTAACCTACCGGTTGTGTTTCCATAATCCATATTCTACTTGTCAGTTACGGAAAGGCATGGAGCCGGGTTGGGCTCAGCCGGCCCCGGTTGTAAATAATTGAAACCCGGTACCAACCTAGTTTGGTCCGGTACCGGTGCCAGTATATATGGTTCCAAAGTCCAAACAGTACCAGACTTAGGCCTGGGCCCGACTGGTCCGGCCCAAAAAATGAGGCCTGAGGTTGTCCCGTTTCTACGCCAATCCTAGTACCATGCCGGCCCGCTAGCGGAAAACCAATCCTGGGTCAGTCCAAACTGTACCGGTCCCAGGCCGGTCTCGGGTCGGGCTGTCCGGACTCAGTCCATCCCTAGTTACGGACTCGATGTCCGTGTGCTTTTCAAAAAAATATACATAGTATTGGGGGTGGACACAGTTCATCTGCTTGATTAAGATAATTGATAAATTTTCAAGAACGGTTACTTCCATTTAATAGTTAGATTCAGTCCGGGCTCTCGGTTTTTATTTGATAAAAGGGTCAAATAAGGCCCTTTACTATCTCCAAACAATCAATTAGGACCATGTACTAAATAAAGTGTCATTTACATCCATCTACACATAAAAAACAGTCATTAAGACCATTGACCGAAAGGTAACCTGATTTAGCAGCCTAGCAGGTTCCTTGCTTATGTGGCCTTTTTTTCAATTTTCCTTTCTGTTTCCTTTCTCTTTTCTTTTTTCTTTTTTCTAAATCAGGTCACCATCCGGTCAGTGGTCTTAATTGACAGTTTTTTATGTGTATCTGAATGTAAATGACATTTTTTTTGAGTACATGGTCCTAAATGATGGTTTGTAGATAGTAAGAGACCTTATTTGACCCTTTTCTCTTTTTATTTTTTGCAAACAATAGCATCACCCTACAAAGTACGGAGGGTCTAGTAAGTAATAACACTTTTACACTCATTAAGTATCATTGTCACCATAATATAGTAAAAATTCATAATAAAATAAAAATATACAATAAAGTTATGACTTGGCAAGTTATCTAACCACAAATCTAAAAATTAAATACTACCTCTGTCCCAAATTGTTTTGCAAAGTCTACATTTTTTGTCAACTTACAATGTTAAAGTAAAATTTTCCCTATTGATAAATAATTAAATTTACATATTCAAAAACTACATTAAAATCTCTATAAAGTTGCAAAATCAAATTAAAATTTAATTAAATATTGATCCTATTAAAGTAAATAAAATGAATTCATTTGACCCACAAAACCAATTTTGCAACTCAATTTGGGAAATGAGTTGGGGAGGGTCAATACAAAGATTGGGGAGTAACATATGACCACAAAAATTATATAGCACCAAATTCTGAAATGTAGAAAATTAGACATCTTCAAGAGCGTAGCCAGGATCAAAGATTGGGGAGGGTCAATACAAAGATTTTATTGCAGATAAACTTTGCATGAAAATTTCCAATTGTATCATATGTTCCCAAAGGGACATTTTACATGCAAACTTTTACACTAAAATACAAGGAATTTTCAAATTGAGGTGGGTCAGGGCCCGGTTGTCTCCCTATTGGGATCCCTCCTTAATTGAGAAGTTAATGAGAATTCTAGAATAGTGCGGAGATGTCTAGAATTCTCTAGATGTGTGTAGAGAAATATTGAATGTTCTAGAATATTCCGGAGCTTTCTAGAGAGACGTTGAATTATCTAGAAGCGTGTGGAAAAGTGTAGAATATTGTATAACATTGTGGAGTTTTCTAGAGAAATGTGGTATTCTCTAGAATCGTGCGGAAGTTTGTGGAAGCCTCTAGAACATTCTCAAGCGATATGGAGTTCTCTAGATCCTTCTAGAAGATTAGAGAAGCTTGTGGATAGTTTTTGGAAGAATCTAGAAATGTAGTGATGTATAGAAAGTTCTAGAGAAGCTTTGAGATGAGTTGTATAAATAGGGGTGAGATTTCTCATTCCTGAACGAGAGAGCTTAGTGAGAGAGCCATGTGAGGGCCTAAAGAGAGAGCCTCCTCAAGTGATGAGAGAGAGAGCCTTGAGGAGAGCTCTTGAGTGAGTGAGTGCTTCCTTGAGAGAGGTGTGTGTGAGTGAAGTAGTCTCATATACAAAGAGTGATGTGAGCTACCCGTTTACTTGTAAAATATCTCTTGTGCATTTCAATTGTATAATACAAAGTGATATTGTTAGATTGAATCTTTGTGTTACGAGTGGGTGGGTGAATGTACAAGAGTCCTTTGAGCTGGTGATCCTGGAAGAAGTCGGGGGTCGTGTTTTTCCCCAACACTCCCTACCTCCACCCCTCGACTTTGAAACTCTTTCTAATAGACTCAAGAGCTCTCATGTGTTCTAGTATATCGTATTAAATATAACAAAGTTTAGTAAATATTTTTTTAGAACGGGTCTGTCCGGATACTCATTCAGTTTTAATACTTTTTCAAGTTTTAATACCCATTCAGTTCCTAAATTTTTAAGACCCGCCCGACCCCGTTTGCCCACCCCTACATAGTAGATATATACAAAAGTTCCATAACTCACAAGTAGAATATTTAATAAATGAATTAAAGTTCACCCCGGGACAAGTTTTTTTTAAATTTTCTAAATGAAATCTGCTATATTCAGGTAGAATATTTGGAAAATGAATATAAATAAATTCAGTTACTCATTTTTTAATACAGAGTAATAAATGACTTAATTAACCAGCGGTTTCCATAATATAATCGCTCGCCCAGAACGAGTTTTCTTTGAACATTTTAACATTTTTTGTTGAAAAAAATGTTGAAAGCAGGAGTTAATTAGCGTTTGAATTATTTGGCTAGAACAGATGGATTTAGATCATCTAAATTTCTCCTAGACTTTTTCTTCTTATAAAACAGATGGATTGGGTCATCTGTCCTCACTCACATCGGACAAAATCTCATCACAAGCCCCCCTCCCCCCCTCCATCCCCTAGAAGACCGCCTTACCATCACCGTCCTCTAAAAGATCTAAAACTACACCCACCTCCACACTTACTCTTCTACTGCGCCCAGCGCCCTCAATCACAACAGAGTCATCATAGAACTTAACTGGGATCATACCCTCATCTTAATTAGGATGCATTTGCTTTGCTTGGTCTAAAGTCCATCAACAATCACATCCTCAAGATAAAGTCACAAAGCTTTCCCATCCACCTGAAGGGAACTTGAGAAACAACATTTTGGGAACATCTACATGATCTATCTCATCTGAAAATAAAAGGCTTGTGCATTTTTCAATTTCAGTACGATCAACAAAAATGTCAAACTTGGGGCGAGGCTTAGATTGGCAAAAACAAATGCCATCATTTCATGAGTACTTGAAATCACTCTCAGATTTAAAGCATTGCTCTCAACCTCGAGATCAGCATGTTTTTGCTATCTATGATATTACTGAGCTGACTGGCAAGTCAAAGATTGCTCTCCCACCGGGCCCCTGATAGAATGAGCCTCTTTGTGAGAGCATCTCCACAATAGCACTCCTATTTGGCCCCATCTTCCACATGTCACTAGTAGCTCCCAGTTCTGATACATTGGCATGTTCCTATACTGGTCCACTATGGCTTCCTGCAGCTGTTTGCCTCATCACCAAGTACAGATCCGTTTGAACACCAATTATGAAATGTGGAGCACAAACTGCCCACAGCAGTGTGCTACCTGATTTCCCATGGCTGGAAAATCTATCGGCACCTGGTGGCTTACAGTAAGGGAGTCCGCTGTGATTCAAGTCCATTGAAGGTCTGACACCAAAGACGGACGGGACAAGAAACTGTTGCATCACCAAAATATAACTGACATGAGGTGTGTCAGAAGATGAAACCATTACCAACATGGAAAGCCAATTAGGGACCCCTCGCTAAGAACTTCCTAGAAATCTCCAACATTTGACTCAACACCATCATCGCTTCGATGCCTGCTGCCCGACTTGACTGTACAATTGTCTTCATAAGAGTGACCATGAAGGACTATCAATACTTTGCCTAAAAGGGAGAGGAGGCGGCAACCTTGGAGGGCACACATCTGATGAAAGTTGAAAAAACAGATAGCGTCTCCATCTGGATGCCAGTTCACGGCCTGCAAATGCATCCATTGGCAGATCACAATTTCAGATGTCATTCCTCTGAACCATCTACTAAATAGCTTTTCTGTACCGAGTTGAAGAGGTTTTATACACTGCGCTAGTCAATCTAGAATAATATATATATATATATTGCGTCAAAGTCTTTCCTCATAAGTGCCGTCCCTGTTCTCTGAACCTTCTCACTTTGATTGCCTATAATGATCTCTTGCAATATAAGGGCCTTTCTGCCTTTACTGGGCGAGCTTCTTCTGTTATGGTTTGAACTTCGTTTTAAATCATTATTCCTCGAGGCATATTAAACAACTAACTTAACTATTTGCTCGAATCCAAATACTTCCTTTGTCCATAAATTAATTTTCCTTTGTCCATACTTCCTTTAACATATGAGGTTCATAATATTTCTCTCTTTTAAATAAATCTCATCAACACACTTTTCACTTTCTTCAATCCCATGGCTGATTAAAGTGGACAAATTTTTTGGGGAAAGATAAAATATATATTGTATGGCCAATGTCTCCATACCACCCATACATGAATATGTTATGTATGGTTATATTCAAATCAGTAAGCTTCAAAAGAATACTTAAAAATTAAAAAAAAAAGTAAAAAACATAAGCATATGCATATTTAGTGGTCAAATGAAAGAGTGTCAATAATATGGTTATTTGTGAGCCATAAATAAGCATTATCAACAAATATGAAAGATCATGAAGCCATGCAGTATATTAGTACCATGAACAAGGCAGGGAATGAATATCCACAGGGCATCAAAAAAACATTTCCCATTTGCAAACTCATGTTTTATGCATTGTACCATTCTGCACTATTCGTGTTTTAACACCACCTGGTCCAAAAACAAATCAAATGCTTCAATATCAATATAAAGAAAAGCAAAGCCCAGATAAATATTGTCACAGTGTTTGCTTGATAAAAGATATCATTGACCTTCAGTTTCCTCGAATATGAGTCCTTTAACTTTCTCAGCAGTTGCATTATACTCAAACCTAAAAACAATAAACAATTAAAAAAGCTAGTCCTAAACAAATGAAATGAGGGAAAATGTTTGAGCACTAATAATCATCGCAACAAAGACACCAGAATATCTATTCATTTATAAATTACCTGTTTGAGTGAAACACTTCAAGATCATAGTTAGATACGCTCTTGGTAGTGTCAACTATGCATGATAGAATTTCAGTCTTCCTAGTGCTTGCAAGGAGTATATCATATTCAGTTGGGATAATGATTGCAATGAAGTGATCACTTAGTTTGCTCAAGCAAAGCTTGTCTACGGCTGCAAGGGCTACCCGCCTCTTAAGAACATCACCTTCTGGGTCTACCAAGTATATTGCACAATCAGTGATTAGAAGAATTCTCTGCTTCATCTTCCCTGAACTCGTAATCTTTAAAACCTTATCTACAAAAACAATGTTTTTGTCCCCTGCAAATGATATCATAGCCTATATATCAGAGTAGGTATTATTTATTTGCAGATTGAATGCATAAAACACAGATCTTCACGCAACTATCTGAGCTCTTGAAACATTAATTTGAAATCATAAGATGTAATTATTCATTTTTCCTGCAGCTACTGAGATAGAGATCGATTCATTTCTCACAAAGATGAATAGCGTGCGTTTCTTTTTCTTTTTTTGAACCCAATTTAATAAGGCCTTGTTTAAACAAATTCAGTTGGAAGCTGTGAGAAAAGCACCTTGCTTATCGAGAATTTTCATGAGGTAAGGACGAGAACGCACGCCGAGATGGTCGCCGGGGCAATCAACTCGAGGAGTGGGGTCATGCGTTCCTTCCTCTTCTCTGTTCTTCTTCGTGGCGGTTTCTTCGTCGTCATACCGGCGCTCGCCGGCTTCAGCTAGTTCTACTCGGACCCCCCGATTCGATCCGCTCATCGTCATTCCAGTGATGTACCTAACAGTAACGTAAAATCTGGAAATATGGGTTCTGTGCGGAAGTAATCGGGCTAACACTTATAATACGGAGTAATTCTTAATCATTTTAGCAATATTCCTCGTCACTAAATAATTTTGAAATAACCCCTACATTTATAATGAATTTTATAAAATACTAGTTTTTTTATTTGAGCTTTGCGCGATTGAATAAGTGCCAATGTTGTGTACATAAAATACAATTTATAGACCTAGTTTTAAAATTCGATACAAAAGAAGATCTTGTTGAAAGATTCCCAATCACATCAAAGTGAGAAGGGCGCTAGGAAGGTGTTTGATACTTTCCCATTTATAAATTAGTTTACAAATGTAAAATGTAAGAGATAAAAAAACCACTTCAATTTCTCTTAGGTTCAAGTCCCAATATTTGATGCATACAACAAGTTAGAAATCGGCATTCATAACAATGCAATAATTATCAGCTAATATGGCAACCAATTAAATTAGGAGCTATAAACTACATCTAGCATATAATATGAAATGATATTAAACTATTTTTCTAAAAATTAAAAGTTAAATAAAACAAGACCCATCCGTAGTAAAAAATGGGTTTTTTTTAATAGAAAATACGGAGTAACTATGAATTACAAATATAAGTTATACCATCTCTATCTAACAAAATAGCACATCTAATAGTAGCTAAGTTCCTGAAGTTTGAGCAGCCAACCGAGCTGTTGAGATATAATCTCATTAATTTGCATTATTAGTCCCCTACTTCTCGAAGGAGGGACTTTGTCTCTAATAGTTGAGTAAAGAGAAAGTTCTATAATTGCTTTAACGCTATGGAAGAGCACTGTCTTAAAACTTGAAGTAAAGCTGATGCTAATAGATTCAGAAGGGAGTCACATGTAATTTGATAGCCAATAGTCACCCTAAAATTCCCTTCGTCGTCTCGGATTAAGGCACCAGCAAAAGCTTTACCATGGTCGAAATGAAAATCCAGATTAAGTTTGAGATGTAAGGGCCCTCCGTTTCTTCCAAAAAATTGTACTTAGGTTGATAGAGCTTCAGGAAGCGGGGGGGCACCAACCCATTTTTCTTTAACCACATTATGATTTCGTGCAATTTTTTATCATCCATTGCCAAGCACCACGAACTCATTTGTGTTTCATATTGTGCACAATAACTTTAGAAACCATTGAGATTTCACCCTCGCATTGAGCTTTACAGTAAGCTTTCCAAATATACCATTAAAGAATACCAATGCATTGGCCAAGAGAGTACCTCATTTCCTTTTTTTCCTGTTTTGTTATTTAATATGCTTGTAAGGCTTGATAAACTTAAATATAAAGAAAACTTGAAAAAGGTTGTTAATATTTTAAGAAATGTTTATTCCAAATCAGGTTATCCACAGGCCGAAGAGGACAACTGGCTGGACGAAGAAGGAATGGGTAACGGCAGTGGCGTATCCAGGATTTACTGTGAGTGGGGGCGAATTCAGTTCACATATTCTCTCAATCATATCACATTCAGTTGAATTCAATAAGATTTTTTTGTGAAGTTGGGTATCAATAAATTAGTCATATATTCACTCAATCATATCACATTCAGTTGAATTCAATAAGATTTTTTTTGTGAAGTTGGGTATAAATAAATTAGTCATAAAGTTTTTAATTTTCTAAAATATGTTAGAAAAATAGATGAGTTGAAAAAGGGACGAATATTGTTTGTATTTAGTATTAATGTAAAATTTGAATGCACAATTATATCTAAAAATAAGTTTCTATTTAGTATAAAAATTTGCAAAATCACAAATTATAATACATTCGTTCTCTTTTAGTTGCAACGTTGGTGATTTTGCATTGTTCACATATTTTACTTTGATTACATTTTATTTAATAATTTATAACAAATTATTTTTTTAAAAAAATATTGTTAATTTCTCTCATTAGGGACAAGTACACACACATTGGACACCAGTTTCGTACTTACAGTATACAATGTGTATATTTAGCATATAAATATAAATATAATTGTAAATTTAATATATATATTTAGGGGTAGGGTGGGGGTTGAGAGGGGGCAGCTGCCCCCACTGCCCCCATAGTAAATCCGCCACTGGGTAACGGGTTGGAGGCCTGGTCAGTGAGCTGAGGACGAGGTGAACTTAACGGGCTGGTATGGAGGATAGGTTAATGGCTGGAAGATGGGTTGGAGCAGGGACAGATCCAGGATTTCGAGCCAAGGGGGCGGAATTTTTTTCATTAATGTAGGGAGTGAAAAATTTTCGCTAGTGTAGCGGGGCGAATTTTTTTTCCCTAGTGTAGGGCTCTGCGGCTAGTGTAGCGGGGCGAATTTAAAAAGTTCCATTAGTACATACTACATACACGATGACAATTATATCTAATATATTCTCATTCTAATTTTAGACAATGAAAAGATAATTTTGATTTAATAACTATAAATGCTCCAGAAAAAAAGTATTGATAAATTAAAGTTTAAGAAATGACAAATTAAAGGAAAATTATTTGAAAATAAGAAAGGATATATAACATTTTATGATATTATTTGAAGGTAAAGTGGTTAAAGTTAAAGGTACACATCAACCAATGCTTTTTAAGTAACTTTTGTCTTGTTTAACCACATGAATCTTAATAGGATAAATAATTGGTTTTTGAATTAAGATTTTTGTCTATCAAGGAGAGTATTTGTGGGTCACGATGAGTTTTTTTAATATTACGGTAGTATGTATGAGATTATTATACTTAGAATAATATGATATGTAGTAATGTTAATTCATATATATGGTGCATATTATATTTGTATTAATGCTAGAATAATATGATACGTAGTAATGTTAATTCATATATATGGTGCATATTATATTTGTATTAATGCTAAAATAAGTTAAAGTATTATCTATTCAACAAATTGTTTTTAGAAAGTAAGAGGTAAACGAAGTGTGTAATTTAATGTCAACAAACATTTATACTATTTAACTAATGTATCTGATATTCAATATCTTTTGATATCTTACAAAATCGAGTACTAATTACCTAATAAAGATATTTTTTTTTTTTGAAAAAATCTAATAAAGATAATTAAACCTTACAAAACTAAGAATTTTTAGGTACCCTAAGTCTTAAACAATGAGTTCTATTTTTTATTTGTTTAAGTTATGTCAATTATTTTAGACTCTACTTCTTTTAAATCTCCAATTAAACATTGCATTATGTGAACCTATATATTATTTTTGAAAACTAAAATTTAAGGGGGGCGAAAACATATTTACCTAATTAAATTATGAAAATTTTATGAAAATATTATATATATAGTTGAAAATTTTGGAAGTCCAAGGGGGTCCCCCCGGATCCGTACCTGGGTTGGAGGGAGCAGTGGCTATAGATAGGCAAGAAGAAATGATTGCATAAAGCAATGTTACATCTCAAATAACAAGAAGATATTATTATGTTTTTATATGGATTTTTTTACAGGAATATTACTAAAATAAAATTTATTTACATAAATATGACTATTCATTACTACAACGTAGTGTTGTGATAACTTAAGTTCAACATTTGAACATGAATTACTATGATTTCATTACTACTCTAGTAGCTAATCATATTTTTGTAAACCATATTTATATTTTTGGTCATATTTATGTAATTATTTCTTTTTATATTCTTTGGGATCAGGTTTGAGTTTATGATTGTTGTTGTTGTTGAACTCATAGCCATAAATCTGGAGCCTACAATTTGAAGTAAATTAAGTATTTATATGCTTAAGATATCGTCACAATCTACTAGCTAGGGGCTATGAAGCTTATCCATAGTTGGGAAAAGGAGATCTAGAATGCCAGTAATCTGTGAGATAAAGATAAAATGAAAGTTGAGGATAGATAGCAGGCCAAAATTAGCCAAAGGTCAAAGAGAAGGCAACAAGCAACTAATTGGCTTGTAAGCATGGTCATTTTAAAGAAAGTTTAGCTTAATTTACACATAGGTCATAAACTTATACTCCCTCCGTCCCCTTTTAAATGGGACGGGAGATGGTGGCACGGGTTTTAAGAAAAGTGAGTTTGTGTGGTTGATATTAATTGATAAAGTAAGAATAAAGTAAGAATGATTTTGAGTCACACAAAATTTACCAAATAAGGTATGAGGCAATTAAATAGGGACATCCCAATATAGTAAAACGGGACATTTAAAAGGGGACGGAGGGAGTAGTTCTTTTCCTTGGTTAGTTTGTGTATAGAAATGTTAATCCAATACAGTAGTGAGACTCATGGTGGCTTATAAATTCAAAAAATCATGTTCTTAATCTGGATATGTGTTTAAGTCATAGACTTATCATCTTTAACAAGGCATGAGTCCTACCCTTCAGAGGTCCTTTGAGGTATCTGCTTATATTAGAAGGAAGAACGGTATACAAAGAGTTGGTTCAAAATTTGACGTCATACAAGGGGTCATGTGTTTCGGGTGAAGTTTGGTATGAAGTTTAACCACATCCATCTACCAATATGTTTCCATTGCTCCATTTACTACATGAGTACATGCACATAGAAGGCATGCCTTGTTAATGTATTATTTTTAATATTTAATGATTAATTTGTCACTTAAGATTGTTAATTGTTTCCTAAAATGTAAATGAGAACCTTCTACCGGGACATCCAAAAAAGGAAAGTGGGAACCTTCTAATGGGACGGAGGGAGTACTATATAAGAAGTAAAATATAAAAATATTAATTACATACTTTTATTATTTAATATACATATATATATATATATACATATATTTATTTAAATTATAGTACGGAGTAATTTTTTACATACTCCCTCCGTCCCGAAAACAACCTCTCGGTTTGACTTTCACACACTTTTAGAAAATAAATTTGACTTTACTGTAGAGTGCACTGTTTTGCACTGTTTAAACACTGTTTGACACTGTTTATCACTTTTTTGATGTAGATAATTTGTCAAATAAGGAAAGTATTGAAGTGTGAAGTTAATTTTGGGACATCCATTTAAGGAAAGTGGGAAGTTGTTTTTGGGACGGAGGGAGTATTAGATATACTACATAGTAATTATGTGTACATTATATTTTATAAAGTAAGGTAATACAGATATGTGTGTGTGTTTTTGCACATAAATTTCACATTTTTACATAAAATATAAATAAATATTTGAAAATAAAGGTAAAGAAATTATTTTGGTTTATATTTTATTTTTATTTTGAATTAAATGCA